CAACGATTGACGCACTGGAAGCCAATATTGAAGCATTTATTCGTGAGATACCGGCCAATATGTTGGAGAGAGTGTGCCAAAATTGGACCTTGCGCATGGGCCATCTAAAGCGGAGCCGCGGCCAACATTTACATGAAATAATCTTTAAACATTAAATTATATCGTTTAATCGTTTTTTCAAATTTTTTCTGTTTTTTTTTTAAAGTATATCCTATACCTCTTAAAAAATCACCCGCTATAAATAAACGAACATTCATCTTAACAAATACAAGCCTTTAGCCCTACTGCCTATGCTCAGTAAAGTGATGCAGAAGTGAATTCTACAATATGTTTAACATGATCACTTGATTGATGATAGGCACTATATATAATTTCAAGTCCTTCTAGCCTACTCCGTGCACACTCAACCATTTGGTGAGGATTACATCGCTGCCTTCATATTACAAAGGCTTTCGATCAGCTGTGAAAAGCTGCATACCTATGTCGTCCCAGAGAGGCCTTGCTCTGTGTCAGAGTGCCAAATTCCGTCGGAATGCCTCCGAAAGCTTATTATCAGGAAGGAGTTTTTTGGGCTGGACTGTGTCGGAATTATCATTCCTAAAGATCTTCCTGAGAAATGTCTCAGAAATTACATCAAAAATCGGTAGTCAATTCAACCTGGTCCACAAAAGTTTATATGGGCTTAATATTTGCCATGTACTTCTCATAAATTACAAACTACACCGATTTGACGTATATTTCTTCTAAAGCCGACCGTTCAGTATCCAACATGTGAAGTATTTTTTTTTCAAACGACAGCTGTGCACATCTAGAGCAACAAAGAAACAAAAACACTTGCTACTGGTTGTGGCAGAGCCGACAATGGAACGCTTCCAAGTTAACAGAAAGTTGAACGCCATCCTATGATGATATCGTATGTCCTAAAAATTTTAGCACAAAATTCATTGGCTTTAATTTTATCAAATACAAAATAATATCAAGTCGCCTTTAAGAACAAAAGTTTATTTACATACTTCACTGTCAGTTGACTTATTTTTATTTTTTAGAATTCGCTTAAAGATGTCGTATAAATTAGAAATAGGAAAAAGTGTCCACAAAATGGTTGGGATATCCAAAGCTAAGAAGCTGTCGAATATACCAGAATGAAAACATTTCACGCAGAACCATATATAACCATAGCGGAGTGCGAGCAGGCAGTTCCATGTCTGAATCTACCAAAAAGTAGTAGACCACGTGCATTTATTGCACAGAGGTCAGATAGATTGGTGAGAAGAGCAAAAATCAGGTTGGAATGTCAACAAGGAGACTGGCTCGGAATACAGATCTTCTGAGAGTACGATATCGTTGGGATTGAGGAGGAATGGTCTTAAATATCGAAAAAGACTAAAGTGCCTCAAATAAGCTCAAGCGCAACTCCTTTGTAGACCAAGATGCTGTCGTCAATTGAGGAGAGTACACTTTTCCAATGGAAAAATCATTATTTAGACAACGAAAAGTATTTCGCTTTGAGTAATTCTGAAATGAAGGAAAACGACGGATTTTGTACGGACAACATAGAGGAGTGCCCCGATAATGTTAGATACAAACATAACGCAAAAGTTACAGATAAAATCCTTGTTTGGTGCGTAGCTTCCAACAAATGGTGTATCCCAACCTTTTGTGCGAAGAGTTAGGGGTGAAGCTTTCAATAGTCAGAGCTATGTTGATAACTGCCTTCCCGACTTGCTTCAGTTTGTCCACGAACATCATGCTAATGACCATATCATGTTTAGGTCAGACCTAGCATCATGCCATTACTCAACAGATACTCAAAACTGGCTCCGACAACACAACATACCTTTTGTTCCCAAAAACGATAATCCTCCAAAATTTGCCGCAAGCTTGCCTAATAGAGGATTTTTGGACTTTGCTATCTAGGAACGTTTATCATCGAGGCTGGAAAGCCCAAGATGAAGAACAATTAAGTCATGAGGGGCATTCGAAAAAAGTTGCGTCTGGTAGAGCAGAATGAGCCGCACGACATAATTCGATAGTATAGTTTGGTTAGGTATTGAGTTAAAATTTATGATAACTAGTGCTTTAATAAATTTCTTCGTTAAAATAAATCGGATAAATATTTTGTGCTAAAACTTTTAAGACATACGCTACAAGAGGTTGAGGTGAAAAGAAGCAGAGTTGGTATCGGATTGCTCCCTGACAAAAGACCTGGAGGTTGGCACTATCTGGGGACGTAGTACTATAGTAAAGGAATACAAACGAATCCTTTTTTTGATATAGCTTGAACTCGGTAATTGCAGCAGTTGCTGGGTAGAAGTTGGACTATCTATTTGGAGCTAGATAGTGCTTTTCGCCTCACTCTCTACAAGGTTCAGGTATGATCCGTCCTGGAAAACTGTTCGAACATGCCAAGTCCCTACTGCTATTACTTTCACTTTTTAGTGTCTGGAAATTGAAGTTTGTCGGCACACGTCCGATACATGTTTCGCATAGCGCCGCGGTCACACTCAGTATGTCTTTTAGGTCTGACACCAGATTTTATATGGTTTCGACTCTTTGGTTGGCTTTCGATTCCGACTAGAGAATGACACATACCAATTGCTCTTGTACACGTTTCTACGAGAGCATGCGCTTTCCTACATGAGTTTGGGTTAGCAAAGTCGGTAGCTTTACGGAGCTTCTCGATTAGGGTGGGTTTCATGCAACACGTTATCAATTTGCATCATTCATTGAGGCTGACATTCACATTATGTAGTGTAACCTGGTGGTTGTACAATAGTTCTTAGGACAACCGGCCTAGCTTCGCATTTGCTGTTGGCGAGCTTTCTGAGGATATTGTTTCTAGCAACGACTTTCTAGTAATTTTTTTCCGCAATGGCATCTGCAAGAGAATGATCCATCTTGTCACGTGTCAAAACCAAGTAACTTTCTTTTTACTGTTTTGATCACTTATCAGTAATTTTAATTTCTCTTTATTGATTATAGAGTGCCCATTCCTAGACCAGACCCTTTTTAATGAATGTTTTTTTTGGTAAATTTCATAGCTTATTGATTGTAGAATTTCACACGTATTATATCTGTCATTCTCAGCGACTCAGTGTTGTGCTGAAATCTTTTGGACACTAATTTTATAGTATTAATAACGATCTTAGAAATTTCCTCACGAAATATTGTCGGTCCCTCGTAGACAGATTTGTTTCTGCCTACAGTCTGCCCATTGGCAACCAGCGCGCCACCTTGCGATTTCTAGATGTACTAGCCGTAGATGAATGTTTACCTTTCTATCAAGATACCTTCTTTATCAGCTTTTATATGTCCCTTTTGATGTTCTGTCGAACGTGCCTTCTTAAGGGCCCCACTTATTTAACCTTCTTTTAGGGGGTTGCGTGCGCAGACGGTCCAGCGCCATATTTTTTCAGCAGTAGTTTTGGTTTTGTGTGGGCGTTTTTTTTCGTTAACTTCCAGATTTTGGGATATTAACGCCACAAACACTAGTTTATGGAGTAGTACCCTTTTATTTTGTACCTTACGTTTAGTTGTGTTGGTTAGGGTACTACCCGTCCATTTTGTAATGGGATCTTAACCTCCAGCGGTAAGTTCCCTTTTGTATACTATCGGACTATGTCCATTAATGCTTGTCCTGAAGAAGTTTGTTCAATATCTGCTTCCTGTTAGTGGAAAGCTATTGTGGAGGACCACCATTCACACTCCTCCAGCTTTGTTTTGTAGCTGCCTTGTAGCTGTTTCACAGCCGATTTTGTTGGAAGCCATCCCTTCTCTTTGACAAAAAACCCTTATGTGAACGGAATAAGCATATCACTTTAATTGGGTATTTTATAGATTGATATACTGATTGTTGCTGATTGAAATTCTTAGTGTTCTTGATTTTGTTTGTCATTTTACGTATTCAAATATAGGGTAGTGCCTATATGTCAGTATCTTTTGGACTTATTAGATTACATTGGTCATGTTTTTGAATTTTTAGCTGCTATAACTTATTTTAGAACAAGGGATAACTTTCTGAGGGTATATCACTTTGGTATATTTTGATCTTTTCTTGACCTTGTAGAAAGAAAAGTAAATTTCTAGTAACGGAGAATGTCCATGGATTTTTTTTCAAGTTTTGAGTATTTTAAATGAGTACTTCTGTCTCAGACATAGAGTAGAGTGTAGACTTTTAAAAGTCTTTCTCTCTCTAGGGTTTTTTATATCATACATTTTGGATACGAGGCAAGCAGCCCCTACCTTGTGACGTTCCTTAAGTCACTGCTCACTACTGGCCACTGGTTTTGGACCTGAGCGATTGTAAGCTGTGGACATTTCAGCTGTACCTAAAGCTGTAACTGGAAGAAGACCGTTATCCGTTTAGGTTCAGGCGTTAAACTGTTTGTAAGCCCTATAGTTGTAAAGCCTTCGTGCGTGTACCATGGTAAACGTTTTGCAGGGTTAGTTATCATGGTGTAATAATTTTATTGTCAGGTAGTTTTGAATAATACCTTTTCTTTGAGCTTACACTCCAGTGGCGGAGCATCTGCGCTGCTTGTTTTGACAATATATTTTGATTATTTTTTAGATATATTGTTTTATTTGGCTCTTTGTGTACAATTAACTAGTTTCCATCATTACTATTAGATTCTTTTCTCTGTGTGGTGGTCAGGCAAAACAAGTTCCTAGTAATAACTCGGGGATTTGTGGATTAATCCGTCTTGAGTCACTTGCGCTCTTAACCTCCACTACTCTCCGCTTTATTGAGCTAGGGCCTAAATTTATACGCCACTTTACAGCTGTTTTGCATTGACTGATCCTTAGATTTCATTTATAGTATTTTATTAATTCATTAATTTAATTAAAAAAAAAGGAAAGAGGAACGACCCCAACATTTCCTCTTATTTATAAAAAAGGCTTGGCAATCTAGTAGGCTGCCTAGATAGGTTGGTTTCTTGATATATTCTAGTGTTACACCAGTACAGCGAACCTTAAATATCATATTATTTACCTGACAGGTTTAAAGATGGGAGGCACTAACTTGCGCCTTGGTGTGGTTTGTTTTGAGGGTATTCTATTGGCAGTACTCCCACAGTATGAACACCAAGCTTTAATTAACATTCAACTTCTTCCAGACATTTTTCGTGAGCCTTCATCGTTGGATCATCAGCGTGTAGTAGTAGTAGTAAATGTTGGTATATTTTGATGTTGATAGGTCATTCGTATATAGGTTGCGGAAAGTGAAAGCCAAGACGCTGGGCCATTATTTTGTCTCCTCCATCGACTGTTTTGTTCTTCTAGCATAAATTGTCATGAGAGACTTAAGCTAAGGTGTTCCTACCAGAACGTTCGTGGTCTCAATTCTAAGACGGTGTCATTCTTCAATGCAGTCAGTGACTACGAATTTGATTTAATTTGCTTGACTGAGACGTGGCTGTCTGTGAATGTGAGTGATAGTGAATTATTTCCGGCTGAATACTGTGTGTTCAGGTGTGATCGTGACTTTATTCGATCTGGCCTAGTTTCCGGCGGAGGAGTCCTGATAGCCATAAAACGCGATTTCCATGCAATTAGAATTGACGCTAGTGCTTTGAGTCTAAACTTTCCGTCGATTGATACTGTATGTATTAGGCTTATGATTAACCATGAGCATTTTGTTATCTTTTCTATTTATATTCCGCCTTCAATTAATTTGGACATGTTTAGTCAGTACCTTGAAGCTTTGGAAGTATTTAACAATGCATTCAGTAATTGTAAAATAATTGTTGCTGGTGACTTTAATGTCGCATCATTCAACAGTGACGTTAATGATCAGAAGTCTCAATTAATGAGCAACTTTATTCCGTTTTTAGATTTAACTAACTTTAATAATATTCCAAATATAAATGGTCGAATTCTGGATTTAATTTTAGGAAATATCGAAATAGAAGTCCTCAGAGATAATACACCTTCTGTTAAAGAGGACGTTCATCATCCTGCACTGATCATGGAATTCATTACATCCGGATCTCCAACGAAATTCCCATTTGCTAATTCTCCACGGTTTAACTTTCGCAAAGCTAACTTTCCTGAAATGTACACAGCCTTGCAAGATGTTAATTGGACGGAGGTGATCAGTGCAGTTAATGTTGATGTCGCTTGTACCGCCTTGTATTCAGTTATCAATAACATCTTTGAGGTCCATGTCCCTAAATGTAAAAATAAAATGTTTTCGTATCCCCCATGGTTCACACGTGAAATTATACTTAATATCAAGAAGAAGGACATAGCAAGAAGGAACTGGAGACGTGACGGTACTAAGTTTTCTTATGATCAGTTCAGTAATTTTAGGAAGCTCATTAAGAACCAGATCAGTGTTGCCTACTCCGCTTACGTCAAATCGGCTGAGGATGCCATTGTCAATGATCCTAGCAAATTCTGGTCATTTGCCTAGATCAAAAAACAGCAATCTAGAATCCCCCCAGGATGACGCTTAACGGCAATGTCTGCGATACGCCTCAGGATATAGTGGACAGTTTTGCTACCTTCTTTTCAACAGTTTTTATCCCGTCTGGTGTACTAGGGTCATCTCCTCCAACAAATAATTCTACCGATATCATTTCTTTAAAAAATATAAGTGAAGAAAACGTAATTAGGGCTTCGAAAAGATTAAAGAACAAAATGACGTCTGGATGTGATGGTATTCCAATTTTTTTCGTTAAAGATTGCATTCATATACTAGCGAAACCGCTGGCTTCCATATTCAACCTAATTCTAAAATCAGAGACATATCCAAATATCTGGAAGACCTCTAAAATATGTCCTATTCACAAAAGTGGAGATATCTCTGATATTTCCAACTATCGCCAAATAGCAATCCTGTGCAATTTCAGCAAGTTGTTTGAGATCATCGCTTATGAAACGGTTTACTGCTCGGTCAGGGGTGCAGTCTCTATTAATCAGCATTGGTTTATGAGAGGCAGATCTACGGTCACCAACTTGGCTCTAATTACTCAATACATTTCTGAAGTACTGGACGGTCAGGGACAAGTTGATGTCATCTACACAGATATTCAGAAGGCTTTTGATCAAGTTGATCATTATGCACTTCTGGATAAGCTTAAAACAGTGGGTATGTCTGATGCAATGCTGTCGCTCATGAATTCATATTTGAGGGATAGAAGGTTATTTGTCGAATATGGTGGTCATAGGTCGAGTTACTATCGGGCCACGTCTGGGGTACCTCAAGGGTCAAATCTAGGTCCATTATTGTTTTTAATATTTATTGATGACTTGTCTTTTGAACTGAAGTGTTTCCATTTGTTTTTCGCTGATGACCTCAAAATCTGCACGTCAGTCAAGACAGTCGAGGATTGCGTCATGTTGCAAGATGGCTTAGCTCTAATTTCGTCATGGTGTTCACGAAACTGTCTCAGTCTGAATGTTTCGAAATGTAAAGTAATGACTTATACAAGAAAAGTGAACTATTTAATTTATGATAATTATAACATCAATGGTCAGGTTATAGACAGATGCACCTCTTATAGAGACCTTGGAGTCATATTTGATACCAAGCTAACGTTTACTGAGCACATACTCAATATCTCGTCGGCTGCCACTCGACTACTTGGTTTCTGTATCAGAAACTGGAAGGGTTTCTCCAATGTTGATACATTAATAACTTTATTTTTTACTTTTGTCAGGAGCAAGTTGGAGTATGCAACTCTGATCTGGTCTCCTATATACCAAAATTCTGTCGTGATCCTTGAGGCCATTCAACGTAAAGCTTTAAAGTATTTTCACCTTAAATGCACAGGTTCTTATCCAGAAAGAGGTTGTGACCATAGTGTCCTATTAGAGTCTTTCAATTTGGATTCACTGTCAACAAGACGAAACATATTTGCTTTGTCGTTTTTGTATGGCCTCATTCACAACAAAATTGACTGTCAAAATTTACTTGAAAAAATATGTTTCCGCGTTCCAAGGCTAGGGAGTCGACAACAAATGGCATTCTATTGTCAAGCTGGCCGTACAAATGTTATGACAAAATCGCCAATTAATTTCATGTGCTGCATCATGAACAGTGTTACTGAATCGTGTGATATTTACAGTGACAGTTGTGCAACGATTATTAACTGTTATAGATCATCCAATCTTATTTAGAATGTGTGATACTATAGATTTAAGTCCAAGAACCATGTCTCTTTAATTGCTATTTTTTCAGCGTTTCCTGTAATTGGGTTTCACCTGTTGGAAATAAATAAATAAATAAATAAATAAAATTTAATTTTTTGTAGTATGAATCCAACAGTTTTTACTGACTTATATTGTTTAAGAACCCTACTTACCTTTACTATACTGTCTGTCCATAACTTTCATGACTGATGCGGTAACAACAAAGGTTTTCTAGCTCATCTTTAACATTAATAGATGATGTGAGACCTCTCTAGTATCGTGGTCTTTTACTCAAATGCAAGTTGGAAATTTTTCTCGAAGCATTTTCCATTTCCCGTGCACCGTACCTTAGAGTACTTTGCCACTAACAATTTCTTACTTACTGCCTCCACTAAACGCTCCGAGACGACATTTTGCCAATAAATCTATTAGAAGGCGGAAGTCGATACGGGCGCCCCTGCCAGCAATATAGGGTGAACTGAACGTTAATTGTTCGCTGGTCCAGCTAGAATTTAATATAAACACGCAGCACATACCTTGCTGCCCGCAATTTTAATTAAATCGGCTTCCCTTCCTCTACACCTCTCATAAATTATCTAGTACTAGACAATCGCCTTATACTCCACCCACGGTTCTAAGCTTTTCCATAAACTTTGAGCCAGGAGTACGGATTTGAACCTTCTTTTACTACGCGAGGGAAGGTAAATATGGAAAGTATGAGTGCCGCATCCTGATGACGGATATTTTATAGGAGTATTTCAAAAATCGAACGAAGCTGTGCATAATACCAAACAGCAGCTTGATGCCAATGTTAGGCACAGCGTAACAGCCTAAGGTGCCCTTCCCCTGCTGACATGTCAGCGGAAGCCAGTCTTAGGCCACTTACGAGGTCTGTGAATGAAGTGATGAGACTGCTAACGTAGCGTTCGATATGGCGACACTGTGACACTGAGTAGAAGCTTGTATTCGCTCGAGTCCTTCGGTTGTCCGTAGCGATGTTTTATGTGTATTGTGTTTTAGAAACGAATGACATCAGTTTCAGGCAACGGTGTGCTACCAGGTCTTGCTTTATACTTGGGCACAATGCGAGGAAAAATGTTGCTAAACAGACCCACGGAGATAGTGTTTTGTAAAGAGCTCAGGTTTTTCGGTGGTTTAAGGCATTTTCAGAAAGGAGAGAGTCGATTTAAGATGAACCACGAAGCGGAATCCCTTCATCTTCAAAAACAGATGAAAATATCGACATAATACGGAATACTGTGCATTCAGATCGTCGATTGACAGTCAGAATAAGCGGGAAAGTGCTAAATTTGACTCACACAGTAAAAACATTACCATGGCTTCTCAACCTCCTTCTTTGCCTGACTTGAGTCCTTGTGACTTTTTTCTGTTTCCGCAGCTGAAAAATCACCTCAAGGGAATTAATTTTGGGACGCTGAAAACATTCAAATGGATGTAAAAGACCAGCTGAAGGCTATTGCAGTATCGGAGTTCCAGCACTGCTATGAGGAGTGAGAGAACCGTTTCCAGCGTTGTGTGGCTTCAGAAGTTATATGGGGGTGACAATATAAAATTGTAAAATTGTAATTGGACGTCTGACAAAACTATATACACTGAAACTAACTGGGAGCTTAAAAGTATTTCGTAATACCTAATCTGTTAATATGTTTTGACATGTAATAGTGAACTACGAGCCTTAGACTAAGGTTATCTGCAATTTTATTCTCTTAATACGCAATATTTTCGCAAATCTCGTGAGTAGAGAGTTTTCGAAACCTTCTGCCTTTTTGGAAGGACGCCATTGCTCCCGTGTATTATTTGACCGAATGTGGTCAAAGCCAAAGCCGATGCTTTAGTTGAAGCCTAGTTCATACTGTGGCACAAAGAACAAAACTCGGGAATATCACCTCCGGAGGCTATCTTTACACCTTAATACTGGCCTGATTGATTTTTGCATTTCTGACACATGTTTTTGTATGCTGCTATCCCTGAACTAATAATTGTAACATAATTACGAATAATTTCGAAGCC